GGTTTCTGTTTGCACGAATTTCTGTAGGGTTTGGGCTTGGTTATTTACCACTTTGCCATCCACGTTGTTCCATATATAAAAGTGATTGTTTTATGGTTTTAAAAGAAAAGAGAGATTAGATTGTATTGGGAGAATTGAGAGAGATTGTTCTTCAATTCTAGTGAGATTGTGAGAGATTGTAAGTTATTTTATTCTCATAATCTAGAGAATGTATTTTCCTTCGCCACCACTGAATTGTTCTTGTGTTCCTGTTATTTTCTTCTCAACCCACCTTTGATAATTCCGCGATCAAATGTGCTCGCACGGCGACTCGTATCAGATAGTTTTGCAAATACTGAAATTAAAAGTCTTTTTGCAAGTACTCATGATTTAGGAGGTACATACGCAAATAACCCTAGAATTTTAGAAGTGTGCATAATTTTAATTTAATGAGGACTCTCAAAGTGAAAATATAATTAAGAGTAGTTCACGTATAAAGAAGAGATAAAATTAAAAATTTTAAAGATAGATCTATTAAGTATAGTGGACCCCACTAGCCGCCAAGGGAAGGGAAGACGTTCAACTTTCAACATCTAGTAAAAGGAATTATGTTTTTGGATATCCGCCGATATCTTTTAGATCTTTGATTATATACAGGTATGATGAGTATGACTAAGGTTTTGCAATGAAAAACAATGATCATGTTTAAGACTAGTTCTATGAAAAATTAATTAATAACGTGTGAAGTAATTTTTTAATCGGTTTACTAACTGAAAATGAGACAGTAAGGTATTATAATTTAATTTTGGCACCACTGAAGCTATGGAAACCATGGTGGGAGCATAACCATTCATCTTTGAGAACTATTGTACAAGATGCATTTATCTTTTTTCCTTTGCAAATATTGTTATTCTTTTTATTTTATTTTATTAACTCAGAAAATTTTGTGGTTGCCTACATATTTAGTTACCCTTTTGAGGGTAACTATGGAAAACGATCAGAGATTCAGAGTTCTATCAAGTTCATCACTACTATGAAATCATTATTATGAAATGGACAGTCAAAGCATAGTCCCCACTACAGCATAGATTGGTGCTTCGAATCAGGTGAATTTCCCTACTGCGGCTCCTTGAACCTTTGTAGTGCCTATCATTGAAGGCAGTGACTTCATTATTGTAGCGTCCAAGACCATTAAGAGGATAACTAGAGTAATGCCCGTGGCTAGATCTTAGTCCTAGGCATCTGCGTAGAGGCCCGTGGCCGCTTCCAAGGGATCGTCATTTGCAATCAGTTTCCACTTGCTGCTCTTAGATGCATCGTCATCTTCACTTCTTCTGGCGAGAAAACGAAGAAAGTTATCATTGAGAAGGTTGCCAGAGTAGCCTTATGGCCCTTATCAACATATCACATAATTTTCTCTAAGGACACAGAGTCCATTCTTACCGCCAGAAGAAGTGACTCATGATTTCTTAATTTTTTGGATACTCCTAAATTGTTGCTACTAGACCATGAACAGACATAATGATAAGCCTCTTAGAGTGCATATCTCATATCCCCTCTACACTGAATGGGAAGGCGGACAATATTTTTGTGTAGAGTGGTTGATCACATTTCAATAATATAGCAAATAGAGATAGCAAATGGAGATAAGTTTGTATACAGCCATCTGGCATCATAGTAAATAGATATAGTTCCCCTAAATGGGAAAAACTAGCAACTGACTAAAGGCATAAGTGACGAAGCCTTACTAGACTCCTTTGTAGATGGCATCGATCTTGTATGACATCTGCAAACCTCTTGAGGTGCATTACTGCAATGGAGAGTTTGGAAATAGTGGACGGTCACACCACTAGTCTCGGGTGAATGGCGAGTTCCAGGTGGATGAGAGTACGAACTCCACTGGTGGAACTCAAAGGATCTCAACAGATATCTGGTTGAAGGTAGGTAGACAAGAGGATGGGAAGACACTTAACTTCTTCAGCATAGTTGGAGTAGGGGTGGTCTTCCTGGCTCTTACCTTGCGACGGAAGATGTTGTGATTGGTAGGATTTAATCTACCGGTAGGGACGGACTCTATGTCCTTAGAGCAATCTATGTGCATGGGATAACTAGTGGAGGTTGATCAAGGATGATCCCTCTTGAGGTGGCTACAAAAATTTCCAGGACTAAGACCTAGTTGCGAGCATTGCTCTGGCTCTCCTCTTAATCGCTATAGACACTATAACAATGAAGTCATTGTCGTCCTCACTGGCGGGCATTGCAATAACTCTAAGAGATCTAACAGTGTGCCTTACAACCAGGCTTCGAGTATCAGTCTGGACCATAAGTGAACAAATGTGTAAAGGTCAACTGAGCGAGAACTCCGATCTGAATAACCCTATCATGATAGCTATGTACTCGGTGGAACTGTCATTTTTCATAGTAACCTTCAAAGGGGTTACCAAAAGAAGAATCAAACAATCACAGAATTCACCTGGTTAGTAAAAGAAAATAATAAAAACAGTGATATTTTTAAAAGAAAAACTAATAAATTCATTTTATATGTTATTTCTCAAAGATGGATGAAAATATATGCTTCCACTATGGTTGCCATAGAACCTGGGGTGCTAGATAATGCTACTAGTAGTATCAGTTGGCAACCTTTGCAGGAACGGACTATACAAAATAGACCATTTGAGATAGTTTACACTATAGTGCTAGTTTACACTATAGTGCCTGATAGTAATGTTTTAAATGTCGGATGTCGGCTTCATGTCGGTCGGCCAAAATTCATGTCGGATAGCGGAAATCGGGGATATATCGGGGGACATGAAAAAAATATTGGATTGCCATATCAGATAGGTTGATATAATATCATAAATGGAATCTTCACATACTTGATAATTATATTGTCTAAACATATAAAAAAGTACATAACTTATTGATGTTAGGATCACTAACCAATTGTAGACACCTGATTTCTGAGTCGGGTTTTTCAAACTTGATCCAATAAGCTTAAAACCGTTTTTTCTGAAATTTGGCCGATATTTCTTGGCCGCAATGGCGCCCGACATACCCGATATTTTCCGACATGTCCCCGACATGACCTCAGAAACGCAATACGCATTGAAATGAAGGATATCGTGGCGGCTAGGGTACATATCGGCCGCCATGTCCGACATGGCGGCCGATATTTAAAACACTGCCTGATAGTATACACTATGCACATGAATTGAAATTGAGATCACAAAGTTGAGGCCAATATGCAACAACTCCATTAGATGACTTATAGTTTATATACATAGAAAAAAATGTGAGCATGGATAATAATAGTAAGATCCAAGTCAAAGTCACCATTATGTTTTTTATGATCTGTTTCTCTAGCTTTCTGCATCTACATACATGTAGATGCATTTACTTGTATATTAATTTTTTATTTAGCTAAACGACCACAACATGGTTGTTGTTGAATCTATCAATAAAAGGGTGTGCAATAGAACTGTTGTAAATCCATACCTTATTCACTGTGCTAATAATCAATTTGTTAAGAAAGCAAGTCTAATTTCACTACTACTTATTCTAACTTCAAGAAACTACAAAAATTTGGTAATTGGATCTAACAGTCAAGTACTCGTCCCAACAAAGAGGACACATGGTCATATTGCAAGAAAGGATCTGGAATTTTTCTATTTCAACTGAAATTTCAAACATTCTTATCTTCTGTAGCTTTGTTTTTTATGATTGGTGTGGATTTATAGTTCAATTGAGGTCTAGGCCCAAATAAAGAACCAGAAAGAAGAATCAGGGCTCAATTGAGACCAATTTCTTTGCAAAAGTCTTGTAAAAAGTACCACTTTCTCCAAAGCTTCATTTTTTGGTGCATCAAGTATGAACATCTATGATGCACATAGATATTATTCGATTTAACACCCTAATATTTGATAAATATCTCCGATATATCCCCGATATTCGTCATCCAATGTGGAAGTTTCTGTCTGGCAATTCCTCAACATTTGACTTTTAGGACACTGATGAATGCACAAAGCCCGCCTCCGGCGTTCACGCCCATCACGCAACCTATCAACCGAATACATACGCATAACCATCAACCTGTGACAGTGGATACGTACACGTAAGCATCCCCAAATGACACCACATATTCCACAACATGCCTGAGAAAATGATGCTGAGATTTACAACGACCCCTTCAACGGTTCAACCTATACATATGCCTATGAGCTTCAACTTAACATGCATGAGTGGTTCTCTTAGAATATGCAGTATATAAACATGCTTCAGCACTATTTAATTTTATTGAAAGAACATCTTTATAATCCTACCTCAGTATTTTATACTCCCCAAGGTTTCAGTTTTTTATTTTTTATTTTTAGAATGTCTCTTTCTAGTTTCACATAGTGAAAGCATGCATAATGAGAGGTAGTCAAGTACTCATCGGTCAAATGGTATTATATAAATCTGACTTGCACCCACTAGGTTTAGACAGCCTCATACACATACATTACTTATATGAATTCATCTTCCTCCCATCAATATCATTCACAGAAACTAGGCAAAAATGGATTTGAAAGAGAAGATTTCAGAAGCCAAACCAGTTGGATTTTTGTAGAAAGGTGTGTACTGGCCATTTTGAAATTGAGGTAGTTAACTTAATGGATTTTTGTAGTTTTGAAAGAAAATATTTCAGAAGCCAAACTAGTTGGATTTTTGTAGGAAGGTGTATCCTGGACATTTGAAATTGAGGTAGTTAACTTAATGATCATCTTACTAACTAATCCAACATATGCACTTCTTTAAGTATGGGTAGACCTAATTTATTTACGTGACACTAGCAGAGCTTACTAAAATTTCACAATTTGTGTTTAGTACAAATTTACAGTGTCCACTTTTCCTGGTCCTGTCATCTGAGGTTTCGATGCACACGGCTCAATATATATCAGTCAAATTTTCTGGGCCGTTACAGTGTTCATCTATTGTTTTCTTATATCATACTTTTCAATCTGTTACTGTTTATTTGCTTCCAGAATGTGGGGAAGAACCTGCCAGCTGATTGTACAAAAAGGACCGAACCTTCACAGGTAAGCCTTCAATCAAGTTAATTGTTATAATTTATACCTATTGGCCAGTTGCTGTGTCAATCTTTGGTGTTTGTCAAAATCTTTTTCTAATATGCACCCATGTTTTTCCTATTCAGTGTTTCTTTCCTCATGAGCTTATCAAGACAATAAAGACCCCACTTTTCATTCTCAATTCTGCTTATGATTATTGGCAGGTAAGTAGTACTTATCTGTTATGTTTCCTTTGTTTATCTTAATGTATTTCTCAAAATTAATTTTCTGAAATTACTGTGTTTTCCAGATACAAAATGTTCTGGTACCAGAAGATTCTGATCCTCGAGGGCACTGGCTGAGGTGCAAGAAGAACATTCATAATTGTCATCCGAATCAGATTGAAATACTGCAGGGTTATAATCATAAACTTTTTCATCATTAGAAGGCCGTTATGTATGTTTTTCTTTAGAAACTAGAGATGTTCTTTTTATAATGATTTTCTTAACAGGTTTCAGGACATCATTGCTTCATACCTTGAGTGAATTTCAGCACAAGAAGGATGCGGGAATGTTCATCAATTCTTGCTTTGTACACTGCCAGACAATGAGCAATGTCACATGGCACTCTCCAAAGTCACCTAAAATCAACAATAGGGTATTTTCTCCCTTTACTGTTAATTTCTCCTGACAATTTATATTTTCTTTACTGTAACATGTCTTTTTATACAGGGTTAATTGTGGATACACTCCTTATATTATGACGGTGTAGCCACTTATAACACTCTAAAGTCTAAACCTTGTTATTAGCACTAACGCACCCTGAATGTGAGATGACATTACTTTCTTCCACCCGATTTACTGGGCGATTGAGTCTTTTTTACAGTTAAACTAACGGTAGAAGGTAATTTGTCATCTCATGATTCTCACAGGATATCTCAACCTAACTTTTGCAATAATATAGTGTAGTGTACAGAGGTTGCAAATGCTAATAAAATATTTTAGGGGGTATAGTTGGCTAAGCCCTTTCACAATTAACTCTTTCTATATGCTTTACTTTTCCTAGGAATAGTGTTATTATAATTCTCGTTGACCAAATTACCCCTTCTCTTGCTGTTTCAAGCTCCATCTTATTTCATGTCATAATTCCACATTCGTAGTAATACCAAATGATCACTACCATACAGTAACCATTTAGAACTATAAGAAAGGAATGGGATTCTGAGACTGATTCCCGTCAACTGTTAGGCTGCAGCTTGCACAGTGGTATATAGCATGGTTCTTGAACTATATTTTACTTAAAATGTATCAACTTAATGATTTTGGCTGGTTATTTGCCTCCAAGCAGACAATTGCAGAAGCAGTCGGAGACTGGTACTTTGGCAGAAGAGAGGCAATATATGTGGATTGTCCATATCCCTGCAATCCTACGTGTTACCATAGGAATTTCAACTGAAGTTTGATGGAAGAAATCGAGGTTTAACTTTCGAGCATTTGATTCTTTTCTAAATGCCTTTAGTAAGCACAAATACTTCAATATGGTGCGGTGCATAGAGATAGAAAGAGCTTACTTCAATCTGTTATAAATTATGTACATTGCTTTATGAAGCTGTAAAAATGCAATATGTATGAATAGCACTTGTTTATAGCTTGAGAACGTGAAAAAAGATTCTTTGAGTTATTGTATTCAAAAGTTGACACTTTTTCCACATTATTTGATATTATGAATGTTGAACTTATGCGTGAAATAATTATTTAGCTTATAGTCATCATTCTGTTTACTCATCTACTTTATTCTCAGTAACCAATGTTTGTGTCACATCCGTGTGTTGATGAAATGGTTATAATTAGAGAATCCAAGAAATTATCCTGTGTTGATGGGACTAATAATTCTTATGGTGCAGTTCTCTAGTTTTGAGTTCCGTCTGTATTGGGTTCGACAACAAGTGAATGCTGGTATCGGTTCCATATACTTAAATTCTATGCCAACACAACAGGTGACGATTCATTTCTTAAATATGTTCTTCCCTTGCATTGCAGGCGTTTCTATCTGGTGAGATTTTTATACTTGTGCGCAAGTTAAAAAAGGTTAAAAGAGATTATTGGATGCTGTCTGAGAAAGCAAAAGCACTTTTTCCAATTGTTGGGCATGCCCATTTTAATATTATTTGCCCTATCAATAGACTGTATCTTAGGTTGCACCAAATCTTAAGCTTCTATACGTTGATGATTATGAAGAGACTACCTATATCATGTACTCTTGCTTCTTGTTTCATCATTTAATGAGTATTGAACTGTGGATGAACATGTTCCACAAATCCTTCTAAAATTTTACATCAGTATTCCTAAAATTTTACTTCTAGCACTACTTGGGTTGATTTTAAGAAATTATTATTGACAGTTAATGCCATTTTAGGCCTAGAAAGGGTTGGATGTACATAGGCTTATCATCTCATAACATGAGGAACTACGTGATTTTATCTTGATCCTTAGACGACCGGCAGTCTAAGAGCTGTCTAAATTCTTTATAGATTTTGTTACACACAGAATATCGGTTTTGAATTACTATTCTTGTAGTGTCGTTGTTGCAGATAAGACCTCCTGGGTTAAGTTTTTGTGGCTCTTTTTACCTGGGGTAAATTTTATCATATTCTGCTCCCCGTCGATAGTTCGAAACTACCTGCAAAAAATTTAACCCAGGGGGCCTATCTGCAACAATAAAATATACAAGGATGGTTAGTTCAAAACAGCAATAACAGAGGCGTTGTGTGCGCAATTACCCTTCTTTATAATGCACCTTTCATATTGTTCCACCGACACCAAGGTTGTGTTTGGCAACTTCTCAAAATTGGGTGGACTGATCCTAGCCTCATTCTGGGAAACATTTTATCTGTGAAATATTGGGTAAGTATATTGCCTAGTTTTCTTTATATCAAAAAGTGACCTTTAAGCAGGTTTTATGTTGGACAAATCCCCTTAGGGCGCGTTTGGTTCCAATTTTTTATCGGTGAATCCCTGCCATGGTGTCAGAAATGTGGCAGGTTTCACCCCAAAACGCCTTTTTTTGGGGCGATTTGGGGTGAAACATGCCACAGATGGGACACTGTGGCAGGCTTTCCCCTACTTTCACCCTAAAAAAATCGGAACCAAACAGGTGAAGGATAAAACTGGGTTAGGACTGATCCTTTCAAGGCTAGCAAGGCATGGGTTGCAGTGGCTATATTGCACCCATCTTAAAACCATTAAGTCCATAAAGTGGAAAGATTTTGATAACATTATGATGCTTATTCATCATTAACAGGTGAAGGATGTCGTGGAAGCTGCTAAAAGCTTGGCCTCCATGAGGGACTTTTTGGTCAACATATTCTCCTCATCCCATGACACGACCCTTGAATCAAAATCAAGGACACTGATTACTCACCTAGAAAGAATAGAGAAGGAACCAAATTATAAAAGCAAATTACTGCACCTTCATCTTTTCTATGACTTTTCTTAGTTAGAGAGAGACCTTTATCTCCCCTCCAGATAGCCCATTTCCCCTCCTCCCTCTCTTTGCTTGTGCTCATTAGTCTTTACCCTATCACTGCCAGAGAGAGCAAATGGCTCAACAGGTGAGATTCTTTCTGTATACTTCTCCCGTTTGTGGATCTTTTTAGCTAATGTCTAACCTTTAGTTATGTGCTAATGTGATTATAATCACAGGAAGGAGGCTGGCCTCTTGGATTGCAACCACTAATTAATGTGAGGGTTGGGCTTATCAGGAGGAGCTTGGACGTCTCTAGCTCCCTCTCCTTCACTGCCTCCCCAACTTCTACTACCACAACTACATCGGAGTTTGATACCGAGGTATCAAATTATTATTCAAACTGCAAACTCTAGTTTAGCTTTAGATTTTTTTTTTTTTTTTTTTACCGTAACAATTTAGTAAATTTCACAAAATACCCCTGAACTTTGTGGTGTTTTGCACAAAATCTTCCACAAAGCTAAAGTTTATAGATTAAAGAAGTTGCCATGTGTGCACATTTTTGGGGCAACTTTTCGCTTTTTTATTTTTTAGTTTTACGCAAGCAGAGTTTTTCGGATTATCGTAGGTAGATATTAGAAGATGAAACTTTATCTTCTACCTTGAAGGTCCAATAGTAAGGGCCAAGGGAGATTTATATATTTTTTAAAAATCCAGAGGATATTTTTTTCATGTATAAACCCTTGAGGGTTTTATACAGAACACCCCAAAGTTTATGGATTAATATGTTCCCGCTTCTTTCGTTGCAGTCGAGCATCACACTCGGGAATCTCATTGGCATTACTAGAATTGTTGAGCTCTCAAACGGGAGAAAATGCAGTACCATGAGAGAGAGGAAAAGCTGCTGCAAGGCTAAGGACTGCTTCTCTCTTTGCCCTAGAGCTCAATTCAATAGTGATGAAGGTTGCAGGGCTCCATCACTCGGCCATTTTCTTCAGGTGGAGAGAAGAGCTCATAATGCTCGGATTAACTCTCTGTTCTCTAATGGCCTCATTGCTCCTACGACCAACGATCGCAGTTCTTGTATTAAAAAAGGCATGGGTCATGGAGTTGGGTTTTGTTTTGGTTTGATATTTCCGTGCATGAGATGAACCTGTGTCAGCTGCAGCAATCTCAAAATTTTTGATGAATATTGAGGAGGGGTTTATATTAGATTTAGCATGTCTTGAGACAGGAATTGCAAAGGAAGTCGACTTCAATTCCGTGCGCTTTAATTTTGTAATCAATTTAAGGCATAGTAATTGGTCCGGAGTCTAATTATTGAGACATCAAAAGATTCTTTAAATGATGTCTAATTTAAATTCCTAATTGGGCATTCTAATTTAGACTTGTTTAAGAAGCTATGATGTTCTATTTTGACATTTTGATACACTAAAGTTCTCAAATTGATGTTAATTTGATTATCTAATAACCCAAAACGTAAATCGTTCCTTGCTTTTTTAAAAGTCAAACAACTAAAATTTGAAGCAAATATTTTCTCATGCACATTTATACATTGATACACCTACCCAAACAAAACTAATCTTTAAATTTTTTTATGTCTCAGAATACCCAATTGTTAAAATAAATTTTGACAATATCAAAGTTATGATAAAGTGAAACAATTGGGGGTATCAAAGTGCAAATAACCCTTTTCTCTGGTTACTATTAAGGGGTTGAAGATGAGAGAATTTAAGATTATTCCGTCACATTTGAGGTCTTGAATGCTGCCCTTTTATTCCGTCACAACCTATCATCTACAAGAAGCTACCAAAATTCTGTAACTTTTACGAAGTGCAAGGCCGTGATGTGGACGAATGCAAGCGAACGCCGATTGATAGATCAGACCCAAATGCAGCATACCAAAAATGCTGAAAATACGAATGGGGATCATCCCCCTGGGATTGATATGATTGTTAGAAATGCGTGTCCAGCCCGCTCCGCTGCAAGCTCAACCTGGTGCGTGCACACCAGTCATGAATAGCCACCCTAAGGCCTCTGGTCATACTCCAAAGTCATTCATCTTAATTTTGATCAAAACCTCTCTGCAGTCGAAGAGATCCCTCGCAAGAATTCAAAGGCTAAAGCTATGCTCGTCGTGAACCAGCTAAGTGTTGATGATGATGACCAATTCTGGACTTTAGTGCACAAAAAAGCACAAACTCTAGAACAATCAAGGGCTAGAGCTAAGTCCACAAACTCTCAGGAAAGCGAGGATGAATCTGATTTTGAGCTCCCTACACAAAAACAAGGCAGAGAACTGATTGGCACTAGCACAACTAATTCATTTGCGGCACCCCAACGTCCTCCTGAATGTAAGGCTTCGAGCGAGGAACGGTTCATCCCCTTCAACCCCCCTGATCATCATGAATCCAATCCACAACCATGTACATATCATCTTTTGGAATGCCCATGGCGTTGGTAACCCTAATACTTTTGGATTTTATAGACAACTCATTTCAGCACATAGGCCCTCAATGTTTATAATAATGGAGCCTCTTGCGAAAGATAAATATATCAGGAAGTTCCACTTTTTTGTAATAAGGACAATTGGATATCCAATGAAGATGTGGAGGGCAAAATATGGATTCTCTGGAGGGAGGGAGTATCAGTTTCGCTCCTCCACAAGACTAAGCAGTGTATTACTGTTTTAGCAACCATTATGGGGTCATCTATTACCATATCAGCTGTATATGGGAAGTATACTGTGAGAGGGAGAAGGGAATTGTGGGACCATCTTCGGTTCATTTCATCTTCTTCCCAGGGGCCATGGATTGGGGGAGGAGAGTTTAACATCATTAGATACATTGAAGAGAAAATTGGGGTTGCTCAACCCTAACCAATGGCGATGGAGGAGTTCAATTCTTACATTGACGACTGCAGCATGGCAGCAGTCCCTACGTCAGGTGGCCCCTTCACTTGGTGCAATAAGTTTTAAGGACCCAAGAGAACTTGGCAGGTCCTTGGCAGAGTTCTTCAGTCCCACGATCTCCTAGCCTCTAACATCATTACAGTCCAGCTGTTAACAAGGGAGTTCTCTGATCAATGTCCCATTCTTCTTTCATACTCCAGAAATTTGTATTCAGGTCCTAAACTTTGGCGTTTTCAGCGCATGTGGACTACGCACCCTGACTTCAAAGAGCTTGTGCACTCATATTATATCTCCCAATCAGGGGGCTTTCATCGAAGGGAGGTGCATATCTGATAACATCGCTCCAGCCCAGGAGATCTGCAGGGAGATTGACAAGAAAAACAAACATCCTAACATTGTCCTCAACCTGGATACGCTTAAAGCGTAAGATCGTCTTGAGGATCATTGAGGATTCAAGGGTGGCACTCTAAAATGTTAAGTGCTGCTGGGAAACTGATCCTAATCAAGCATGTTCTAGGCGGAATGCCCATTCACATCTTTATCTTGTGTAGCAGTGCCCAAAGGAGGAGTGTATAAACCCATTGAAGCTCTCCTTGCAAGATTTTTTTTGTTGGTCCTCGGAATTATTTGGGGCTCGTCGACATTCAAGCCAATGCTCACTCTTCAATGGGCATTCATTCAAGCCAATGCTCACTCTGATTCTAAAAGCTTAGTTCAGCTGATTGGTAAACAAACCCCTATATGGCTTTGATAAAATGGGAACGACTTTTAGAAGGGGCGACTAATTTTACTTGTTTATTGTCAGGATGTGTTTTGTAGAATGTAGCGAGTCTCCTAATGTTTTTTGTTTGTTCGGTACAAGGGGAGTATCATTTTTATAATCACTAATCTTTCATACGTGATCTGAAGCCACCAATTTAGCCCACACATCAAAAATGGCCTTGCTGGATGGGCTTTGAGAAGCCCATAAATCGCTACAAGTCAAACTACGTCAGCGTCACTCACTATTGTCACAAGCCTGTAACATCTGCTGGCCCATGGGCAAAAATGTTTACAGATTAATTTCGAGACTTTTACTAAGGCTACATCCCAAAGGTTACCGTGTCCGTACTCCGTAATTAATGGCTTCGATTTTGAGTTCCTGATCTTGCAGATTCTTGACCATTTAGACCTTGACGGGTCCTCAGCAGCTTAACTAATTTGCATATTAACACTTGAAATTAATGGCACTGTTCAGACTTGCTCCCCAATAAACATCCTCACATCATGCCATCTTTTCTGGTGTAGTACTTGATTGCAAATACGAACACACTCATACTCTCTACGCTTTTTCTCTCTCCTCCGTGCATTGCTGGACCTTCGATGTCTGGACATTGTCGGGCATATCCAATCAACTCCACGATGCTAAACACTATGTAAATTCGTGAGTCCGAGCATATTTAACCATGTATTCATCTAACTATTATTTATAATGCGAGGCTAATAAACCTCTCTTGCATAAACCTCACACAAGTCATCCATATCACCTTCGAAGCGTGGGTAGTATTCACAACTATCTACGACAAAAATGAGGTATTTGTGAGAGGGTTAGGGCCTGCAAGGTGATTAATAGCTATCATCAATGATGACTCAATGAACAAGCCAAGCAACCAATGGACCCCCAAGAGAGTCAGGTGACGCGTCTCTCCAAAACAACAGAGACACCCTTCGCTTTCTTTGGGCACAAGAATCCCACAGCGTAACCACCTTATCTTCCAAGTGTAACAATGACACAGACCCGACCAGAGTCGGACCAAAACAAAGAGTCCTGCATCCATGCAGAGGTTCAGAGTAAGTCCTCAGGAGTGGAGCCCTAATCCCATGCTCAATTATCAGAGCACCCACATGGCAATCAGGACTCTTGATTGGGGTGGGGGGTGGGGGGATCCTACGGAGGGCCCTCTATAATAAATCATATGGGGAGATCGGGATGAAGACGTTTGTACTAATGTGAATCGTGATGCACATGTCAGTATCAACTATCAATGCAGACAAGCTATCTATAGTAGTTGTTAGATATTTTGTTAACAAAAGATAATTTTGCCTTCATGAATTATAATAAATATTGTAATTAAAATATGTGTAACGGATATATAATTATGGGGAACGTTACAAAATTTATGACGAACGTTACGGAATTAATTACGGGTTTTGTAACGTCTTTTCCAACCCTATATATATATCCATATGTTGAGCTCAAAATAATAAGAAAAAATATATACAACAAGTTTCTCTTGTTTTCTTCTCTCCCCTACATATTATTTTCATCTACATCTTAGTTTTATTTTATGGACAACTTCCTTCATCTGAGCTGAAGCTCTGCATTCTCGCCCGAGTATAGAGGCCGGCCGTTTCCGGGAGTTTTTACCGCTAGGGGAAGGGAACCATCTGCGCCAGGGCGATAGGCGGGTTCTCAATCTTCTAGGGCAGTGAATACACGACTGCTCCCGTTCAGGCCAGTTTTAATTGTTTAATTTTTCGGATTTATCTGCATGCTATAATCTTAATTATTTGATAAATTTCCAACAAAAAGTAGTATAAAATTTACAGTACAATTATCATTTTTTAATCCACAATATACACAATGCTATTACCATGACTCCAACTTTCTCTAGCTTTGCAATAACAGTCCATCCTTAAAAAAACACCCAAAATAAACTGGAGAGCTGTCATCAGTCTCATGTAAAGCACAGCCTGAAATGTCAGTCAAATCTTTGCAGTTTTTTTTATTATTATAGAATAAGAGGGCTCATTGGTTAAATTCATATGCCATTTTAAATCTTTATGGCATGGTAGTCAAAAAGAAAAATCAAAGTCAATCTTAACTCATAATTTACAAGCATAACATCACCATTATGAAGGTTCTGAATGAATGTAAATTTCATAATAGCTACGAAATATTTCATCCCAAGCTATGGAACTTTTGCATAATTATAAATCTCTACAGTTTGGCATCGAAGGATAGGCCATATTTGTAAAATTTATACGCCCTCGTGAATCCATAAGGCATAGCAGCTAAATATAAACATACATACAAATATAAAACAACCTCATTTTTTTTTCATGGTTTAATGCTTTCATTTCTTTAACCTATCAATATGGTACCTTCTATTATTAATAATTCCATACTTTAGTGTATTTATGCATCTAATAAGCTTAGTACAGAAGGTGGTAAAAGTGAATGCAGATTTGTTCAGCAACTTAAGTGGCAGTTGTCTGCAGCAGATGAGTTTTTACTCTCAAGACATGAAAATCATGAGGTTCGAACATCAATAGGTAAACCCCTCCTCGGCCTTATCCAACATATGTTTGCATTATAGTTGATAGGCAAATTAAATGCTTGCAGGAAATATTTTAAAGTTTCTATATTCTTTTAAGAAACAAAAACTCATTGAGTGAACCGATTCAAGTTTTCTTGGATTAGTTGGTGTCTAAGGCAAGGTTTAAGGGTTGCGTAACGCGCTCTGCAAGGAATGAGGTACTTAATTGATCTTTGATCAACCTCTATTACTATCCTTACCTGGCTAACTACCCGAGTAAAACTTTAATCTTTTCATTTTAGGAGATTTTGGTTTGGAATAAGAGGACCGAAATTATGTGAAAATTCATATACATTTATTTAATTACGCTTCTTGCATCATATATTGCCTAATAATAAATGATCAATATATGAGCGAACCAAATCAAAGAGGTGCATTTTTTTTTAAATTCTATTTTATATGGTGGATTATATTTCAAATCTTCAAATGTAAAGTTCATCACTTTTATTGCATTTTGATGAATATTGCAATAAATGTTCATGTCTTTTTAGATAACTTGCATTTGTTACATGATTAATTATAATGTTTTATGCAAGAATACACTTGAAAAATTTAAAGCACGTATGTACAAATATTATTATTATTATTTGTATAAGAGGTGATACTAGAAAATGGCAACATAAATTTGGAAGGTCTTCTTTGTAGACAACCAATTTAAATTTGGAAGGTCTCATTTGTAGGCAACCGATTTAAATTTGGACGGTCTCCTTTGTAGGCAACCAATTTGTAACCTCTTATAATAGAATAATTTTAAAAATTTTATGCATTTGAATTATGAAGTATGAAATATATTTTAAGCTACGAAAATATATTTTAAGATACGAAATCCTATTATGCTCTGCATGTATCTATTATTAATTTTATTCATGTATGTGCATATGCATAACTGCAGAATTTTTAGTTCCACATTAGTTTGAAATGTTCAGATATTAAGGTCAATCTCTTCAGACATAGACTATGATCTTTTATGATCATAGATCATGACCTAATGTCAATTTCAAACAATATGATGGACTAATTACAAAATAAGAACTTGATAAATAAATACAACGCCTGCTAGGCAAAGTTATGATTCTAGACTTTGTAAAGTCTGTGAAAAGAATCTTGATGACCCTTTGACTAAGGGATTATCCAGGAGTGTGGTTCTGGATTCATCGAGGGAGATGGGGTTAAGCCCATAGATGAGGTCACTGACAGCGGCAACCCAACCCTTATTTGGATAGTACCCTTTGAGGACTTACCTATGTGAGAGGAACCGTGATGGCCGCGGTTAGGGGGGGCTGGGCTAACCCCTAGAAACTCTCATGAGTCGGTTTATTGTGAGCATGGCCTTTAACGCTCAACCCGCTTTGCTCAATAGATGAAGCGTATTGTGTGTGTTTTCATCAATACCTGATTAAAGGGGCCTAATTCAAGGCCTAGTCCATTATGTCCCTCAGGTGGCGATGAACTCACTAAGGAAAGGTTCAAAGCCGAAAGCTACCTCTCCCGAATTCACGATATGAAAGGTTGCCCAACCTATATTTGTTTTATGATTTCTTGATTTATTAATTGATTTCTGAGTCTTTAGTCAATATTGCCTTTTGGGGGGGACTGTTAGATATTTTGTTAACAAAAGACAATTTTGTCTTCATGAATTATAATAAATATTGTAATTAAAACATGCAATTAAAATATGTGTAACGGATATATAATTATGGGGAACGTTACAAAATTTATGACGAACGTTACGGAATTAATTACGGGTTTTGTAACGTCTTTTCCAACCCTATATATATATCCATATGTTGAGCTCAAAATAATAAGAAAAAATATATACAACAAGTTTCTCTTGTTTTTTTCTCTCCCCTACATATTATTTTCATCTACATCTTAGTTTTATTTTATGGACAACTTCCTTCATCTGAGCTGAAGCTCTGCACTCTCGCCCGAGTGTGGAGGCCGGCCGTTTCCGGGAGTTTTTACCGCTAGGGGAAGGGAACCATCTGCGCCAGGACGATAGGCGGGTTCTCAATCTTCTAGGGCAGTGAATACACGACTGCTCCCGTTCAGACCAGTTTTAATTGTTTAATTTTTCGGATTTATCTGCATGCTATAATCTTAATTATTTGATAAATTTCCAACAGTAGTGGGGTTGCTATACTAGTGTTGCTTGTAATAATAGTTGATAATCATGTATGCATCAAAATTCGTGGTAGGCCGGCCACGCGTCTTCTTTGAAATAGGAGATGAAGACATCCGGCCTAGGATGAATGGTGATTCACATATCACTATTAGTTATAATCTTGTGAAGGAGTGAATTGTCCATTCAATTCATCTATCTTGACTTTTGTTGAAAGTAGACAAGTAGACCTATGCCCACACTTACTTTGGGGCCTCTAAAGCTTTGAACACACAAACGGGTATTTTTTTGATAACCCTCAAGGGGATCAATTCTACCACCTAAACTGTTCATCTCCATTCCCCTCCTCAGCTTCAGCATTTAATCTTGCTCACACAACTCAACTACCAACCTGAAAACTGCAAAAGACTGTTTATTCTGATCTATTTTCTGCATTTACAATGACCAAAATCTACACAAAACAATGGACTTATCTAAAGCTTGTCCAGTATATCACTTCTATCATCAACGCAACCAGAACCAATACCCATGATCTTACCGAACGAGCCCATGGCTGAAGACAAGCCTTTGAGACTACTGCTCCCCTCGCCGAAAGTTCGAGACCTACTTGATTTCCTTAGCTTAAAAGAATGGTTGTCATTGTCTATGTTGAGTTCTTCCTTGTTCTTGCCCTTGGCTGTAACCAATCGAGCTATGGTGCTTCGACAAAAGGGACAGGCCGGTGTAGGTGAGCATAGGGTTGTAGGGTTTGGCTTGTTGTGGCAGCACAGAGAGAGTGCACAACGTGCACACATTTGGTGTCTGCAGTCTTGAACTTCAATCGTGCACACTTGGTCGAAACAGATGCAGCAGAGTTCAGTGTCACTAGCCTGCAAAATCAACTCATACTTTTGGCTTATGTACTCAAACAAACATTAAAGGTTACAAAACATTTTGAGATAATTCAAACATGTAATATACAATGTATGCAATTTCAGTATAATGTATGTTATTTCAATATAACATTCATTATTTCAATATAGCTTATAATTGAAGCTTGAGAGTGTTTTCTTTTCTTTTCTTTTCTATTTTTCTTTTTTTAAATTTTTTTTAACTTGAAGGTAATTGTGCTTTTTTGGATTGGTTTTTCAGTATCGTATGACTTATTTTTGTGGATAATTGTGATGACATTGTTTCCCATAAGTTAATTGCTCTATGCAACATTGCATCACACAACTGAATGCTCATAATGATAGACATGGAAGGCTGAAGTGTAGAAATTGATATAGGTCAAAGATGTCGTTTAAACAGCATGTATTCAAAAAGTAGTCAGTGATTATCAAAAGGGATGTCAGGGGGAAAATTGCAGATTTTGTTCAAGAATATGATTTTCAGGCCGTCAGATCTCTATAAAATAAGATTATCCCTGTGATCAAACTAAAATCATATCACACTAATATTATGGCAGTTATATTTCAATTTGCAGCAGTATCTCAAGGAAAGGAGAATGGAGTACCTCGGAGATATCATCATCAACACTATCACCTGAATGTGTAGGGGAAGGCAAAGAATAAAATGTTCGTTTCAAGATTTTATTCTCCCACTCCCTGTTAGCCTCCATCAGAGCATTCTCCAGCAGAATTTTTGCATCCTGATCGAGTTCACCGATGAACTTGAGTGGAGAAGGCCAAACCAGAGGCTCTGCTGTTGCTGGGTTTAGTAAAGCTGCGCAAGCCCCATTTCGCTTTAGTGCAACAGCATATGGTGTTCTCCTGCAGACACAAAACCCCCCTTTAAGTTCGACTGAATTTGAGATAACCTCCCTAAACTTTAAAGATGCCACTTAACACACACACACCCCCTGCGCATCCCAAAAAAACCGAACCCCCACCCCCACCCCGCCCCCTCCTCCCCTTAAGTTTTGTTAAATAACCCCCAACCAACACCATGACATATGACTGCAAATATGAGTGCAGTAGCATACAATAATATGAACCATTCTATAAGATCAAGACAATGACACTCCATCTTGATAGAAAAAATCCAAAAAAGAAGATAATGTAGCTGTTAAAGATCCATTTTTATTGTACCAAAGCTATGAAATGTGGTGAGAGTTGAGGATTAAAATTTTAACTCTAACATGTACCCTCTAAATTAAGGACATTTTTCATGGCAGAGACTTTTATACCACATTAAAGATCACTTCTGCTGCACTAAAACTATAAAGTTTTGGTGCGGTGAGGATCGAATGTTATAATTTTTTAACTCTAACACTAGCACATCAACAGAAAAAAGGGGGGAAATACTTGTTACGCTTAAATTTTGAGTTCCATTAAGAAACACCAACAATAACAATCAATCAATGTACCGTTTTAGGAAATCCATTTTAGGAAATGAATGATGAAGCAATATATATTTACCCAGATGAATCCATTTGACGCCGATCAGCTCCCCACGCAAGCAATTCTCGTACACAATCCAAACACCCTCCACGCGCAGCCAAGTGAAGAGGAGTGCTCCCAGGGCGTCTACAGATGAAAAAATTATTAGCCAAATCCTAACAAATATAGAACAATTCAAAGCAAAAACTTCACTAGTGAAGAGTAGAGAAATGAAACCATACCCATATCCACCAGTAGCAGCAGATACAAGAGCTCCATTATTAAGTAGAATATGAACACATTCCGGCCTCCTTTGCCTTGCTGCAAGATGCAATGGAGTTGCTCCGCTGGTATCACTGACATTTACAAATCGGGCAAATCCCCTACAATCCAATAACAATATTCTTTAATTTTAAAGCTATTGATCTCAAGCAAAGGATTCTATAAAAATTTACCAAGAGTCAGCAACTGAGGTGGAACTAGCAGCAGAGAGAATCGCTCGCAAACAATCCGAATGCCCATAATATGCAGCATAATGCAAACAACTCCTTCCGTGTAACGAATCAAACATCAAGATCTACACCAAATTGAACCAAAATACAACTCATTTTCTCTTCAAATCTCAAGATTCTATCGAATTACTTAAAAAAACATAGAAAAAGTTTGCATACATTTGCGTCAACTTGAAGTAGCTTCTCCACACAAGCAATCTTTCCATGCATTGCAGCAAGGATCAATGGAGTCTAAAATCCACCCCCAAAATAATATATACATATAAATATATCAATAAATACATAAAATTTTCATAAAAATCAAGATTTGAAGCATACCCATTACCTGTTTATGCCTATTAACTACATCTTTATCCACGGGTCGATCCAAGAGCATCGAAAGAACCTAAAAAACCCACCAAAAAATTTTCTTAAAAAAAAGTAAAAACAAAATAATAGGGACCCATGAAAGTGACCAATAAAAGGGACCAGACCTCAAGCTGGCCATTGGCGACGGCGACGTGGAGGGCGGAGAGGCGGTCAAATACGGTGGTCCGCCGGAGCATTTGGGGCTCAGGTCGTTGAGGATGGATTCTTAACTGATTTACAAGGTCTCCAGCTTGAACGCTACTTGTGAAATTCGCCGCTCGTCGCTTGACTCGCAGGCTTAGTGACTTGCCCATTGAATGCGCCGGCGACCGGCGCCTCCGCCTCCGCGAGCTGCGCACGATAAGTGGGGCTGTTGTGCGCACTGGGGGACTAGGAGCTGAAGGGGGCAGCGGTTTAATACAGCGGGGGCTTTTTTCGTTTCTAGACCCGAACTTTTAGGACAAATTTTGAAAACCGTCTTATTTGAGAAAACAATTGCAAAAGTTAACCTATTCACAAAATAATTGTGAAAACCGGGACAAATTTTCAAAACCAACCCTTTTAGCATTTTATTTGCAAAAACCAACCCCTTTTGAAAATAATTACAAAAACCGACCTGTTTTCAGCCCAGCGCTGAAAACAGGTCGGTTTTTGTAAAAAATTCTCCGAAACATCACGGGAGTTCAACTCCCGTGAAGTTTATGGAGAAATTAAACTTCACGGGAGTTCAACTCCCGTGAAGTTTAATTTCTCCATAAAACTCCACGGGAGTTGAACCCCCGTGGATGTAGGCGTATAAAATTGCCTATAGGTCCCTTAGCACAGCTCGACGCCGATTTAACAAACGGACCACCGGGCGACGTATCCAAACAAGACCGCCAACGCTGAAGCCAAGCTATACGCAACGGAGCAGGTTAACGAGGCGACAAATCGCACCCAAGCATTGGAATGCATCCACTCGCACGCGGAATCAAACCAATGTTTAGGTGAATCACCGAGTCATCTAAACAAGAGCGAACTCGGATGAATCACGAATTCAGAATTTGTTTTCCTGCCATATCAGGACCCCGACTCACTGCCATATCTGGAATCAAGTCAACAAGTCGTTGCCAAGTCAATCAACCACACAAGAGAACCAGAACCGGAAACAAAGGACGAAACGGACAAACACCCGGGGACTCGGCCGAAACCGAACCACCCCAGGGTGGCTCGGCCCAAGCCGAGCCACCCTGAGGTGGCTCGGCCAAGGCCGAGCCACCCATGGGTGGCTAGGCTCAGAACTGTGCGCGGGCACAGTTCTGAGTGCCTATAAATAGGCCTTGTGCTCATTTGTTTCAGAGGTTGGAAATTTTGGAGAGAGGCGAAGCCCTGCTGGATTGAAGACTCAGATCTAAAAAAAGATCACAACTTTGAAGGCTTGGAGACTTGGACTTTCAGATCCGGTGCTCGGCGATCACCAACGCCAAATAAGGCAGGAGTTCGAGAGGATTGGATTTGAGATCTACACGATCACACTCCGGATCTAAGCTTGGTTCTTAGATCCCGAGATTCGAGCGGTTGTTTCCTTGGTGAAACAATCCCTCCCGGCTATTATTCCCTTGGTGGAATATTACCCGTCATATCGTGTAGATCCGACCGGATCGAGATCACGCGGTGGTCCACGGCAAATAACCCCGGCGCAGGCAAAGAACCCACCAAAGCGAGCGACCGCAAAACAGGAGCTCGCGATTAGTTCGACAAATAAGGAAAATTGTAATCTTTACTTTGTTTTCTTTGATTTTTCATTGTAACCGGATCTTATAAAAAGACCGGATCTTTGTAACGCATAAAGTTGTTAACTGAGATAGCAATGATATCAACAATGAAGAAAGACATAATTTTTCCCGCGAACAATCTGGCGACCACAGTGGGAGCCAACAGCTTTACTGCCGAAGCTGTCGCGTCGCAGCCGCGGATCCCGATCCCGGTCGAGGAGGAGGTCGAGTACGAATTCGACCAACAAAAGTTCGAGGAGTATCTGTCATCCTCGTCCGAATCCACCTCCCCTCGCAAGTCCAAGTCTCCAAAGCTCTCTTCCAAGAGAAAACTTCGTTGGTACGAAGAAGTTGAAGCTGCCAACGAAGATCTCGCCCCGTTTGATGCCGAAGCTGCATCGGGTGAGATCTCTCCTTCCAACCAGGTCAGATCTGCTCTGGCCGAATCTTCCGTTGCCGAGGGCGTAGTGACTCTCTCAAAGAGAGCCCGCCAAAGGCAACGTCAGCGCCTTGCGAAACAAATCGCAAAGGCAATGGAATCTGTGGACGGGATCCGTTACAACACGGATCTGAAGAACAGAAGAGGCGAACGACCTCAACAACCAATGAATGGCAACTCCTCCAAGCCACCAACGAACGAATGGATCCGTGTCAAACGGAACCGTTCAACGCTGGAGGATCGCATTCAGAAGCGCCGCGCACTCTCAGCACAAGCACGAGCTCAAGTTCAAGAAGCCCGTAGAAGGTGGCAGAATGGAGTAGCCAAGAAATCACCACTAACTCACAAAATATGGAGGCCAAAGTCCAAAGTGGTGAGTCAGGCCGAGGATCGACCTTTACAGCCTTCAAAACGAGTTCAACCTCCCGAACCATCCCGAGGAAGGAGGTCAATCTTGGAGCGCCTCGGTCCAATTCCCGACGAGCGCAACGAAGTCCATGAACGCTCGGGCCCGATGAAGAGGCTCCGAACTAATCAACATGCTGGGGGTCGACACAACCCTCAACATGACAAAGAGTTTACGGCACCCAAGCGCACTACCTTGCGCATCGAAGTTCGGGAGCCCGCTGAGAATTCATGTCTACAAAGGCGTGTTTCGAGGCGAGTGACTCTCGGAAGTCCAAATAAGGCAGTTTGCTCTCAGAAGGAAACGTTGTCATCCGAGGATGATAACGTTATACCTGGGAAATCATGCCAACACGCGATAGGTTACTCCGATCAAATGGACGAGTTGTACTATCGTGCTGGGGGTACGAACAAAACAAGAAAAAGAAGCCCTCAAGGGCTCGAAACTCAGTGCCCATGTGCCAAGCTCATTCGGGTAGTACTGTCTCAATGCAACTGCATCAAGGGAGTCCCCGAGAGAATTTCAGTGTTCGAAAGGCTCGGCACCGAAACGCCAAAACCAAGGCATAGGCGCTTCCGGCAAAGAAGAACAGTGGTTAAGGATGGAGAATTTCCGAAGGTCACCGCCAACATGACCAGCAAAGAGACATCGACACAGATTGATCTCAAATCGTTTCTGGAAGCGTCCCGGCGTGTAACCCGTCTGCAGTCCGGAGCCATCGCACGAGGAACTTATGGTAGGGTTCGGATAAGATTGCCTTCGGAAGATGAAGAATCGGATTCCTGCTCTGCTGTCGCATCGGACAATACAGTGTCCAGCGAAGGACAACCCCGCGAGTCATTCATGATAGGCGCGGAAGAAATGGCCAAAATGCTTGAAGACGCTTTGGCTAAGCAGAAAGAAAGTTTTAAATTCGAGATGGAGACGGCCATGCAGCAGATGAGAGAGATGCATGAACAGCAAATCCAAGCATTCAGGAACCAACAAGGTGAACCAAGCCACCGTAACCAGGTTGCTCAGGAAAAGGAGCACGCGGATGGGGATGAAGCTCACAATGCCAATAACCCTCCCATCAATGCAGGGGGTGGTAGTGAGGATGCCAACGGGGATACAAGTGAAGACTTGAAGATCAAAAGCCTCGAGAGTAAAATCAATACGTTGCTGTCTGCTCAAGAGGTAAAGAAAACGGGCATTCCTTGTCCATACCCGAGGGAATGGGAATCAATCCCCTATCCGGCGAAGTTTAGTCTAATCAACTTCACGCCGTTCGATGGAAGGGGTTCCCCCACCCAGCATTTGATTTATTTCAAATCGCACCTGGGTGCTATCTCTGGGAACGAGCCTCTGATGGTGCGGTCATTCGTCGGCACTCTTCGCGGAGCTGCCTTCGATTGGTATCGTCGCCTCAAGCCAGGAAGCGTGAACAGCTGGGATGACATGGAGACGAAGTTCCTTGCAAATTTCTTCGACGACGACACCGAGATCTCTATCGGATCGTTGCTCGACGAGAAACAAAAAGACGGGGAGTTAGTCGACACCTTCGTCAAAAGGTTCCGGAACAAGGCGATGAATTGCCGGGACCCGATCACCGAGGAATTCATTCTCCAGACTTGCCACAACAACCTCGCATTGGACGTATTGGAGGCAATGGGGACAGCACCGTCTGACACTTGGAAGGATCTGAAGGTGCGCGGTGAACAAGCCGAACGCTTCCTTAAAAGGAAGAAGGCCGAAAGGAACCAACCGACGGTTAATCTGCTGGACTCAAACTTCGCTTCCCGTGGTAAGGGCAAAGCACCTGCAGCTGCTGGTGGTGCTAATCAAGCGTCACAACAGCAATCCCGAAGGCAGCAGAAGACTTCGGGTCCGAGACTCCAGAGAGAGTATTCCTTCAAGGACGAAGACGTTCCAACCATCTTCGAATCGCTCCTCGAAGGCAACAAGATCAAGCTACCACCTATCACGAATCAGGAGGAAGCTGATAACACTACGGACCCAAAGTACTGTGCATACCACAGAAGGGTTGTTCATCCCACCAAGGATTGCTTTGCTCTCAGGAATAGCATTCAGACCTTGGTCGAAGCCGGCGTTATAACGCTAAGGTAAGCCAAATAAAAACGGCAAAACTCCGACCGGTATAAGAGTATAAACTGCTTCCTGACACTCCAAAGAGTATACGAGTATAAACTGTTTCTCAACACTCCGAAAAGTATACGAGTATAAACTGCTTCTTAATACTCCAATAGGTATATGAGTCTAAACTGTTTCCCCACTTTTGACGGGAAGTTCCTGGAGAATATTAAGCTAATATTCTTAAGGATAACCCGGTTAGTTAACTGATAATAATGTCCGAACCAGTTCCGCAGAGGAAACTGGGGGTGGACGATTTATGTAACGGGAAGTTCCCAAAACCACAGCAATGTAATGAATAAGGACTCCCATTCAAGTTCTCACTGTGTCTGTGCACTCAACACTCTCTCTGTTAGAGTCTGGACGTAAAGTTCCTGATTGGTCAAACCTTCTTACAGTTAGGACCACAGTCAAAATCCCCTCTCGATTCTCCCAATGAACGAGAGGTCCACAAATCAAGCGATCAAACCTTCCTACAGTTAGGATCGTCTTAAACCTTCCATTCGGTCAAACCTTTCTAC